TTTTTGGTGTTTTCCGATTTGTTTTTTCTTCTTTCCAATTTTTCGACTCATTAATTTTTTTCAATTTTTAACTTTCGCGATTTTTAGTTTTTTGGTGCTTCGATTTTTCAATTGTTCGTTTTTTTGGTTCTTTGATTTTCAATTTTTCAATTTTCCACTTTTTACAGTTTTTCATTTCGTCAATTTTCAGTCGTTCGACGTTTTACTTTTTTATTATTCGATTTTTCAATTTTTTTTGTTTTTCAACTTTCAATTTTTTCTAATTTTCAACTTTTGAAATAAAAAAAATTGTAAAACTGAAAGATCAAAAATGGAAAAACGAAATAGTGTAAACTGTTAATTTTGAAAAATCTTAAAATTGGAAATCAAGAACTTTTCGTGTTTTCGGTTTCTGGATTTCCGAATTTTTGCCGATGAGTCAAAAAAAGGAAAAACTATAAAATGAAACTGAAGGTTTCAAGAAACGAAAAATTTATAAATCGAAAAATTAAAAATTGAGAAACTTAAAAATCGAAAAACTGCAAAATCGATAAAACGAAATATGTATAATCCAAAAATTGCAAAACTGAACAATTAAAAAATTAAAAAATTCAATCTTGTCGTTTTTCGATTTCACAATTTTTCGATTTTACAATTTTTCATTTCGTTAGTTTTTCAGTTGTTATTACATTTCCATTTTACAATTTTTCCGATTTTTTTATTTTTCAATTTTCCGAAATGTTCAAGTTTTCGAATAAAAAAAAATCGTGTTTTGGCTTTCTGGATTTTCCAATGTTTGCCAATTTTTTTTTCGACTTTCAGTTTTGTGGTTTTCCAACTTTTCGAAATAAGAAAATGGAAAATGGCAAAACTGAAAAAATAAAAAATGAAAAAACGAAAAAGTATAAAAATATAAAAATTAGAAATCAAGAACTTAAAAAATCGAAAAATTGGAAATTAAAGAATCGGAAAATCGGATAATTGAAACTCTAAATATTGCGAAATTTAAAAATAAAAAAAATTGAGGAATTCACAATTTTTCGATTTTACAATTTTTGGAATTTTACAATTTTTCTGTACGATATGTTTTTTATTCTTTCCAATTTTTCGATTCATTATTTTTTTAGACTTTTAAGTTTCTAGAATTTTAATTTTTTGGTGCTTCAATTTTTCGTTTTTCTAGTTTTTTCCGATTTTTAGATTTGCAATTTTTAATGTATCGTTTTTTTTGTTTTTCGTTTTTTTTGTTCTTTGATTTTCAATCTTTCGATTTTTCACCTTTCCGATTTTTTTTGTTTTTCAACTTTCAATTTTCTCAAATTCTCAACTTTTCGAATAAAAATTTCAAAATTGTAAAATTGAAAATTCAAAAACGGAAAAACGAAATAGTGCAAACCGTTAATTTTGAAAAATTTAAAAATTGGGAATCAAGAACTTTGAAACCGTTCCAATTTTTCGTGTTTTCGCTTTCTGGATTTTCGAATTTTTGGCGATTTTTTAATTTTTCGATTTTTAATTTTTTGATTATCAGTGTTTCGTTTTTTTTACGTTTCAAATTAAGAAAATGGAAAAATTGCAACATTGTAAAACTTAAAAAACCAAAAATGAAAAAACGAAAAAGTATAAAATGAAACTTTGAAAATTTTGAAGGAACGAAAAATTCAAAAATCGAAAAACTACAAAATCGAAAAAATTAAATACGTATTGTAAAATCGAAAAATTGAAAATTAAAGAGATCGGAAAATTGGATAATTGGAAATCTAAAAATTGCAAAGTTTAACAATTAAAAAATTGAAATATTCAATCTTTCCAGTTTTTCGATTCATTATTTTTTTCGATTTTTAAGTTTCTCGAATTTTAGTTTTTTCCGATATTTAGTTTTGCAATTTTTAGTGTTTGATTTTTCAATTTTTCGTTTCTTCAATTTTTCAGTTAGCCACTTTTCCGATTTTACAGTTTTTCAGTTGTAACTAGATTTTTATTTTCCCATTTTTTTAGATTTTTTTGTTTTTCAATTCAAGTTTTCGAATAAAAAAAAAATCGTGTTTTCGCCAATTTTTTTGTATTTTTCGACTTTCAGTATTTTGGTTTTTCAACTTTTGGAATCAAGAAAATGGAAAAATGGCAGAACTGAAAAAATTAAAAAAAATTACGAAAAAGTATAAAAATCTAAAAATTTGAAATCAAGAACTTGAAAAATCGAAGACTTAAAAATTGAGAGACTTAAAAATCGAAAAATTGGAAATTATCAAAATCGGAAAATGGGATAATTGGAAATCCAAAAATTGCAAAATTTCAAAATTAAAGAATTGAGGAATTGAATTAAAATTTTTCAATTTTACAATATTTGGAGTTTTTAAATTTTTCTGTACGATTTGTTTATCTGTCTTTTCAATATTGCGATTGACTAATTTTTTCGATTTCTAAGTTTCTCAATTTTTAGTTTTGAAATTTTTAATGTTTGGATTTTTCAATTTTTCAATTTTCCACCTTTTCAATTTTACAATTTTTCATTTTGTCAGTTTTCAGTTCTTATTAGACTTCCATTTTCCGATTTTCAATTTTTTGATTTTCAGTTTTTCGGTTTTTCAACTTTCCGAATCAAGAAAATGGAAAAATTGCATAATTGTAAAACTAAAAAAATCAAAAATTAAAAAACGAAAAAGTATAAAATTCTAAAAATTAGAAGTCAAGAACTTGAAAAATGAAAGAAACGAATAGTTGAAAAATAGAAAAATTTAAAATTAAGAAACTTAAAAATCGAAGAAGTGCAAAATCGGAAAAACGGATAATTTGAAATCCAAATTGCAACATTACAAAATTTAAAAATCTGAATATCGAGGAATTGAAAAATCAAGGGGTGAAAACTTGAAAAACTGAATAAATGTAAAAAATATAAAATCGCGAAAATGAAAAGTAACAATCAAAAACTTCAAAAATCAAGGAAACGAAAAATTGACAAAGCGAAAAATTAAAAAGTGAGAAACTGAAAAATCGATAAATGAAAAATTGTAACATCAAAAAATTACAAAATTGAAAACTGCAAGTCGAAAAATTGAAGAAACGAAATATTGGGAAGTGGAAAAATAGAGGAATTAAAGAAAATGAAAAAAACGAAAAATTCTATGTTAAAATCGAGAAAACGAAAAGTGGAAATCAAGACCTTGAAAAAACGAAAAATTGAAAAATTAAAGAATTGAAAACTGAGAAACCGAAAAACCGAAAAACGAAAAATTGTAAATCGAAAAAGTGAAGAAACGAAACATTGACGAATAGAACAATTGAAAAAGCGAAGAAAACAAAAAACGAAAAATTGTGACATGAAGAAATTATAAAATCAAAGGAAACGGAAAAAACAGCAATTATGGCATCAAAAAATTAGTCGAAAGTAAATTGACAAATCGAAAAATTAAAAAGTGAGGAACTGAAAAATCGAAAAATGAAAAATTGTAACATCAAAAAATTACAAAATTGAAAACTGCAAATCGAAAAAGTGAAGAAACGAAATATTGAGAAGTGGAAAAATAGACAAATTAAAGAAAATGAAGAAAACGAAAAATTCTATCATAAAATCGAGAAAACGAAAAGTGGAAATCAAGACCTTGAAAAAACGAAAAATTGAAATATTATAGAATTAAAAATTGAGAAACCGAAAAATCGAAAAACGAAAAATTGCAAATCGAAAAAGTGAAGAAACGAAACATTGACGAATAGAACAATTGAAAAAGCGAAGAAAAGCAAAAACGAAAAATTGTGACGTGAAGAAATTATAAAATCAAAGGAAACGGAAAAAACAAAAAATCATGGCATCAAAAAATTGGTCGAAACTAAGTTGACAAATCAAAAAATTAGAAAGTGAGAAACTGAAAAACGAAAAATGAAAAATTGTAACACCAAAAAATTACAAAATTGAAAATTGCAAATCGAAAAAGCGAGAAACGAAATATTGGGAAGTGGATAAATAGAGAAATTAAAGAAAATGAAAAAAACGAAAAGTAAAAATCAAGACCTTGAAAAAACGAAAAATTGAAATATCAAACAATTAAAAATTGAGAAACCGAAAAACCGAAAAACGAAAAATTGTAATATCTAGAAATTGCAAATCGAAAATGTGAAGAAACGAAACATTGACGAATAGAACATTTGAAAAACGGAGGAAAACAAAAAAACGAAACATTCTGACATGAGGAAATGATAGAATCAAAGGAAACGGAAAAAATAAAATTATAGCATCAAAAAATTGATTGAAAGTAATAAATCCAGATTTTTCGAAAATTATAAGATTTAATTATATGCGACGTCATCGACATTTTTTCAAGGACACATACATCAATTTGAAATTTTCGCGAAAATTGAGTCAGTCTTTCTTCATTTCAGTTTTACAAGCAAATTCAGAAATCGGAAGTCCAGGAGTATGTTATTTTGTAAAATTTCAATAGTATTTACCACGCAAAGGTTTGAGGTGATGTTATTAACCTGTTGGTGATGATGATTATACAAATTTGACAACAAGCAGCCCAGTAGTATCATAGGTTATGTGTGTAACAAGTGTTGAAGCAGGTGGCAGACAGGCGGAAACGGAGGACCTATTTTTCCATTTTCTAAGAAAGTGGGATTAAGGAAAATATAAGAAATAGTCCAGGAGTTAAAATAAGTTGGTAATATGTTCACTAGTTGACCAACTAACCACTCATAGTATTTTTGGTAACGAAAACGTGTTTCCCGCTTTACGTTTTTGAACGATTAATCCTCATTCGTCGAACCAATACCGGCACAAACCCTGCATTCCGCCAGCCCGCCGCAGCGTGCCAAGCCGGCATTCCCGTCACAAAAGTGATTATTCCACTCGCCGCCCCCGAGCGTTTGTTATTACATCCATCCAACTATCGCCGCCAATGACCGCTCCGAAAATAGCCCGCGGCGGACGCGCTCGGCCGCTCCGCATTACATCAGCCAGCGTGATTTTTCGCCGCGGGCCTCGGCCTCCGGAGGCTCCGGCGCGGGAAACCCGGAGCACTAACCTGTGACGCTCAGCAGCGACATCATGCAAGGCGGCCGAACTCCCGGACCTCCTCCGGGGTATCCCTTCTGGTCCGCACTCACTATCACTGGCCCTCCGAGGGCCCGTCTTCGTGGACGCGGCGGCTCATGACCGGTAACACAGCACGTCACATGCCAGCAGCCTGCGAGCAACTGCCCGAACCGCCATCATGCCCGCGAGAGCGCGCGCCGCGGCGCGGCGGCGCTGTGACGTCATCGCTATGGCAACACCCCGACGTCAGCGCGGCGACCGCAGTGAGGGCGCACCTGCGTACAGAGGGCGCTCATCAATCACTCGGTGCCAAGTGAACCCCAAGTGCGGTCCAGGAGACGCCAGGTGAGTCGACGGCGACGCGGCCGGGCTGGGCTGGGGCGGCGCGCCGCAGGGTGGCACGGGGGGGCCGATGCTTTTGCCGGATTGTGGGGGGCGGGCAGGTGCGCCGGTGGGGGGTGGCGGGTGCGTATGGCGGAGGCGCAGGCGGGGTGGTTTTGGGACGGTTCTGGATTTCTACACTGTAAAAAATGGGTCTCCCGTTTTCGTTTCTGTGTGTCGATTTTGTATACAAAACTATCGGACCGGTTGTTGTCGAATTTTATATACATCGTACGTTAGGAAAACCGTGCACATGGAAATAACCCCCACCAACAATATGATGACGTCACCTCACCTCAAAACGTTACACAGCAAAAGCTGTTTAAATGTTATAAAGTAACATACTCCTATACTTGTGATTTATGGATCCGTGCTAATTTCTTCGTACTAGACATCCAGATTTTCAGACAAATTTAACTTTGAAATTGCAAAATCGAATCATCTCAAATCGTGCTTGTGTTTGTCCTTTTATTACTCCCAAAAAATTAATTACGGCATCTAAAAATGGATGTGCGTTTTCTTAGTTAATAGTATTAACGCTAAGCAAAAATTGTCACTGTCGATTTGTCTTGGGAGAATTTGAAGATTTTCAAAATTTCGCTGAAAATGGTGGAGGTGCCAGGATAAATTTATATTTTGCTCAATTATTTGTGGAAGAACAACAAAAATAAGTACTGATTAGTGATTCTAAGAAAATTTCCGTATGAAACGCGTTTTTTTTAGTGATTATCAAATAACTAGTTACCGAAATTTACAGATTTTTTGCGTTTGTTGATTTTTCAGGGTTATCACAATTTTCAGCTTCTTATATTTCCAAACATTCCAGACATGTTGCCCTTTCCTCACATAACAGTGTTTTGCTTTGAGCTTCCATTTTTCGAAAATTTCGGAAGTTTGCCCACATTCAAAATTTTCTAACTTTCCAAACTTTCAAGATTACAAGTTTTCAGATTTTGTGTAACATTTAGAATTTACGAGGGCTTTTTGGTACCAGAAAAGTTTAGGAAGATTTCAAGTTGCTGAAAGCTTCAGAACTTTGCAAAGTTTCCAGACATCCGCAACTTCCCAAATTTTTAACCTTGTTGACAGTTTCTAAAATCGCCAATTTTCAGATTTTATAGAATATTCAGAGCTTTCAGGATCTGTAGAATTTTCAGAGTTACCGGACTTTTAATATTTTCAATATTTTTAAACGTGCTACTTTTTCCTAACCTTATCGTGTTTTTTGGTCCCAGAAGACAGGATTTTCAAAGTTCCTAGAACCTTCTATGTCTCGAAAGTTCCGGAACCTTTGCAAGGTTCCGGACATTCAAAATTTTTCAAATTTTTAAACTTGTCATTGACAGTTTTTAAAATTGTCAGTTGTCGGATTTTGTAGAACGTTCAGAATTTTCAGGGCTTGTAGACTTTTCAGATCTACCAGGGTTTTTTGTTTCCAGAAAAGTTTAGAAAGATTTCAACGTTTCTGGACACCCTAGAACTTCCATACTTCGAAACTTTCATAAGTTCGCAGAGTTTCCAAACATCCAGAATTTCCCAAATATTTAAAAAAGTTTGACAATTTTCAAAATTGCAAATTTTCGGATTTTATAGAACCATCAGCGCTTTGAGGGTTTGTAGAGTTTTCAGTGTCACCGGAGTTTTCAACTTTTAATATTTTCGAAATTTTCAGACGTGCTACTTTTTCCCGGCCTCATAAAGTTTTATGTTACCAAAACACAAAATTTTCAAAGTTCCTGAATTTTAAAATGATTTCAAAGTTCCTAGAGCTTCTAGAACCTTTTGTACTTCGAAAGTTGCAGAACTTTGCAAAGTTTCCACACATCCGGAATTTCTCAAATACATATTTAAACATTGTTAACAGTTTTTAAAACTGACAATTTTCAGATTTTGTGGAACATTCAGAGCTTTCACAGTTTCTAGAGTTTTCAGAGTTACCGGAATTTTCAGACGTGCTATATTTTTCCGGTCTCAGAGTTTTTTGTTCCCAGGGAATTTGCAAGGTTTCCGGACATTGCAATTTTCAAACTTTCCATCCATAGTTTTTAAAATTATCAGTTGGACACCTTAAAACTTCCATACTTCGAAAGTTTCTAGACATCCGGAATTTCCCTAATCTTCAAACATTGTTGACAGCCTTCACAAATGCTAATTTTCAGATTTTTTAGAACTTCAGTTTTCAGGGTTTCTAGAGATTTCAAAGTTAACTTTCAATATTTTCAAAATTTCCAGACGTGCTACCTTTTTGACCTTATAAAGTTTTTTGTTTCGAGAACACAGGATTTTCAAAGTTTCTAAATTTTAAAACGGTTTTAAAGTTCCTAGACTCTCTACAACCTTCTATATCTCGAAAGTTGCGGAACTTTTCAATGTTTCCAGATATCCGGAATTTCTCAAATACATATTTAAACACTGTCGACAGTTCTCAAAACTGCCAATTTTTGGATTTTCTAGAACCACCAAAGCTTTCAGAGTTTAAAGAGTTTTCAGGTTTACCAGAATTTCAAATATTCATATTTTCAAAAGTTCCAGACATTTTTCTTTCTCGAACGTGCAGAGCTTTTTGTTTCTAGAACACAAAATTTTCAAAATATCTGGAATTTAAATTGGTTCTATCTCTCGAAAGTTCCAGAACTTTGCAAGTTTCCAGACATTCAGAATTTTCCAAATTTTCTAACTTTTCAAACTGGCAGTTTTTAAAATCGCTAGTTGTCGGATTTTTTAGAACATTCAGAGCTTTCAGAGTTTGTAGAGTTTTCAGACATAACAGAATTTTCAATTTTTAATTTTTTCAAAATTTACAGATGTGCTATTTCTTCCCGACCTGATAAAGTTTTTTGTGGCCAGAACGCGGATTTTTCAAATTTTCTAAATTTTAAAAAGGGTTCAAAGTTCCTATACCATCTAGAATCTTCTATATCACGAAAGTTGCGGAAATTTTTAAAGTTTTCAGACATTTAGAATTTTCCAAATTTCAGACTGTTCATAACTGACAGTTTTTAAAATTGCCAGTTGTCGGATTTTGTAGAACAGTCCGAGTCTTCAGGACTTGTAGACTTTATATATTTACCACAGTTTTTTCTTTCCAGGATATAGAATTTTCAGATTTTCCAAAGCTTAGAAAGTTATGAAAGTTACTGGATGCCTTAGAGCTTTCATACTCCGCAAACTTAGCAAAAACTCCAGACATCCGGAATTTCGCAAATATTTAAACATTGTTGACAGTTTCAAAATTGTCAATTTTCGGATTTTAAAGAATCATCAGAACTTTCAGTCTTTATAGAGTTTCAGATTTAGCCAAGTTTCAAGTTCTAATATTAATAAAATTTACTGTTGTGCTTTTCCTTCCTGAAGATAAAAACATTTTTGTTACCAGAATACAGAATTTTTAAAATTTCTAAAATTTAAAAAGATTTCAAAATTCCACCCTCTAAACCTTCTATCTCTCGAAAGCTGCGGAATTTTCCAAAGCTTCCAGATATTCGAAATTTTCCAAATTTCAAAGTTTTCATAATTAACAGTTTTTTAAGTTGCCATTTGTCGGATTTTGTAAATCACTCAAAGTCTTCAGGACTTGTAGACTTTTTAGGCTTACCAGAGTTTTTTGTTTTCAGAATACAGAATTTTGAGAGTTTCTAAAGCTTAGAAAGATTTGTGATATCGTTGACAGTTTTCAAAATTGCCAATTTTCGAATTTTATAGTAGGTACCGTCAGAGCTTTCAGGGTTTCTGGAGTTTCAGGTTTTCAACTTCTTATATTAACAAAAATTTCAATCATGCCATTCTTTCCCGAACGTAGAGAGTTTTTTATTTCCAGAATACAGAATTTTCAAAATTTCTAATATTTAAAAAAATTTCAAAATTGCTAAACCCTCTAAAGCTTCTATTTCTCACAAAAGCTGCATATGTTTCTACAGATTCAAAATTTTCCAAATTTTCAAACTTTCCAAAATTGCCAGTTGTCGGATTTTGTAGAACATTTAGAGCTTTCAGAGTTTGTAGACCTTTCAGACTTGCTAGAGTTTTCAACTTTTAATAATTACGAAATTTTTAGACGTGCTAGCTTTTACCGACCTTATAAGGTTTTATGTTTCCAAATTTTAAAAAGATTTCGAAGTTCCTAGACCCTCTAGAACCTTTTATATCTCGAAAGTTGCAAAACTTTGCAAAGTTTCCAGATATTCAGAATGCTCCAAATCTCCACACTTTTCACAATTAACGGTTTTTAGAATTGCCAGTTGCCGGAATTTGTCGAACTTTCGGAGTTTTTAGGGCTTAAATTTTCAAAGTTTTTACTAAAGTTACTAAAGTTTAGAAAGATTTCAAAGTTTCTGAACGCTCTAGAACTTCTAACTTTGAAAATTTCAGAATTTTCCAAAATTTCCAGACATCCGTAATTTTATAAATCTTTAAAAATTGTTGACAGTTTTCAAAATTGTCAATTTTCGGATTTTATAGAACTATCAAAGCTTTCAGGGTTTATAGAGTTTTCGGATTTACCAGCGTTTCAACTTCTAATATTTACAAAATTTCCACTCTTTCCCGGATGTGCAGGTTTCTGTTTCCAAAATAGAAAATTTCTACAATTTAAAAAAAATCAGTGTTGCCAGGCCCTCAAAAGCTTCTATTTCTTAAAAGTTGCGGAACTTTGTAAGTTGCCAGATATTCAGAAAGTTTAACGTTTCCAAACTTTTCAAAATTGAAAGCTTTTAATTTTAATTTTGTACAACATTCAGAGCTTTCAGAGTTTGTAGAGTTTTCAGACTTACCAGAGTTTTCAACTTTTAATATATATATTCAAAATTTTCAGAGGTGCTTTCCGACCTCACAAAGTTTTTTGTTTCCAGGACGCAGACTTTTCGAAATTTCTGGACCACCTAGAAAGAATTTGCCAAATTTCCAAAGTTTTCATAAAATTTAAAATTGCCAGTTGCCGGATTTTGTAGAATATTCAGAGTTTTCAG